CGTTGTGTCCCCGTTCCTATGGAAAACTACCGGGTTTGGGGGAAAAGTGGATGGAAACGGGCGGGAGGCCGACCCTCCTGGCATTGTAGTTGTCCATTTACTCGGCCCTGTGTGGTGACATTCACTGATTCACGTGTCTGTGCTTACAGGTGGGCATAGACCTCTGCCTATAGTTAGAAGAAAAATAGGTTAATGCTAACAAAATACGAAATTACTTCAGGCGAACTGCACAAGACTCAGCTGCTGTTGTACACTCTTCTTTCTATTTTCCGTTCCCCACGTATGTTTGACCTTGTCCTGGCACAAGCACCAATGGCATACAAAACCGTAATACTCTGGTTCAATTTTCAGTTCCTGTACGACACAGTGGTGACCATGGGAAGAGAATGTTTATCATCAAGGCAACAAGTTTTTATGATTCTCGATTTTTGAGCTTGTTGGTGAGTTAAAAATCAAATGTATTATTGCATTCAGTGTAGCACATCATTTGCAAATGGTGTAAGAGTGTCTAAAATACAATTTCCTGTGTTGTTTATGCGATACTATCTAAAATGTGGCTGGCACTATTTACATAAACAAGAATTTCAGGTCCTCTTTAAGAATTTTTTGGTCATGTGCTGTAAAATCAGGGCCAGATGAAGTTCAAAGACTGGCTGTATAGCAAAGGCTGTGATAGGTACTTAAATTACTGCTGCAGTAGCATTCTTATATTACATGTCTGTGTTCATATATGCATGACCCACAAGTGCTTTTTGCTTCATCCTGCTTTTTGAAACATATCAGTTACTCTTCTGCAGGATTTGCCTTCACTTATCTACACCACTAACAACAGAGGTGAGATTTAGGAAGCCTGACCTGAGTTTGACCCCTCCAAAGTCAGGTTTTGGATAAATCCTTTTATAAGCAGCAAGAGCTGATTTTATACAACTCCCCTCTTGTGATCAGGACTCATTTCTCTGCCTTTCTCAGCTACAGAGCCCACAGTGGCTGCACTGGAGTTGGATTCTTGCTTTGCTGTCAGTGCTGATTGCAGCTGGAGCCAGCCATGCCAAGATGCTGAGGGATTTAAGGGAGGTGTTGCTGCTTGCTGCTGCACAGGCTGACCTCACTGGGAGATGGGAACTGACCTGAACAGCATCACTTTTGTGTGTTCTGTTCATTAATGAACTCATTGCAATCAGCAGTGTTTACACACAACATCCCTTTCCAGCCTAGAATGCAAATCTCAGAGTTATTGGCTGTTCCACTGTTTTCAGATGTTTTCAGATCTCCTGTAAATTTTTCCAGGGTTCTGAGTTTCCCACACTGACTGTTTTTATCCCCTCTACAGAGATACTATTTATTCCTGACGGGAATACCAGTGGCTGTGCTCTTGACATACATCAACGTCTTCGTTGGTGAGTGCTCTGTCAGGCTAAGCAAAGTACAGTCAAAGTTCTTAAATGGGAATTAAGCATGATAGATAGAGAAAAAGCACTCTTTTAGGGCTCTTTCTTTGGAAGGCCATGGAATAGGCCTAAACATTGTATAAGTACATAGAAAATGTTGCCAGTATATTTGCTTTAGTTGTTGCTTTTTAAAAAAAGTTTCTCACATTTAAAAAACCAAAAAACCATTCTCTCTTCTAGCAGTCTTTCAAACATCAGTGAAGTTTAGTAACTTGCATTAACAAGACTGCAACTCTGGCTTTTTATCTAGCAAAGATGCCAAAATTCTGCTTGGCAATACATGTGTTAAATCTCCTGCTGTAATGATATGTAATTAATTTAATAGAGAAATCAGGAAAAGTTCATGCTTTCAGCTCCTGTACTTTAAAGGGTATTTCTGTGGACTTGATCCAAGTTGTTTCTTCTGTATAGCTGCTAATTTTACCCTTTTGGTGTGTACTTAAAAATCTGTGAGTAGATACTTGCAGTGTGATGTGTCTGCAAAAATTGCAAGTTCAGTTTTTCTGAGTAGAGCTCACACTGAGGGATTTAGTACTCTCTATGTGGCATAAGATCTTTTCCTTATCTGAAAAGCAGAATATAAGGTAGCTTTGGAAAATAAGCACAGAGTTAAATATTCTTTCCCTCCTTTCCTTGTCAGGTGAAGCTGAACTTGCAGAGATTCCTGAAGGTTATGTTCCAGAGCACTGGGAATACCACAAAGTGAGTGGAACATGTGAAAGGGTGGGCATGTTATGGACAGCCTTTCTCTTGAAGATACTTTTGGGAGTAAAATGAATGGAGTATGATGATGTCTGTCAGTGTAGTAAAACTCAAATAATGCAGTTCTGATTTTGCTAAACTTTTTTGTGGCTTTGTGGAACATGTAAAAGGCTGTAGGAAATCTTTTTAATGACACAAGCAGATGCAAATGCTCTGGATGCAGTAAACTGCTGAAACTGTATGCCAAGAATTTTTCTATAATATTCCTAAATACTAAGTCCTCTGCATTCATACCATGCAGGTTTTGTCTTTATTTTTTTTTTTTCTACAGTGTCTTAAGAAACTGGAGTTTAAAGTGACATTTCTTTCTTTTGTTTTCAAGTCCCATATCACACACACTTTTGAATCTAGAATTTAAAATTTTTATAGTCACAAACTGAAGGTTGTGTGGTTTCAATTTAATTGTATTTTTTTAAAATTAGTCCCTGGCTTCTTGCTGCAAGCACTGTTTTGTTTCTGATAGGAAGTAATTGAATTCAGCAATATTATTGTGACTGTTTCAACTCATTTAAACTTCTGTTCCTAGTGAAATGCCCTCTATGTGGAAGCAAAATTTTGAAATGTTGCTGATTACAGTAAGATTTGGAGTCCACTTCTGTGATTACTGTGGCAGTTTAAGGAACTTTAAAAGAAAGAAAATAAATTATATCTTCATTAAATGTTAATTTTGCTACAGAACAGTCATCTGCAGGTTATCTTGGCATTAGGGATTGCAAAAGACTTTTTAGGGTTGTGATCTCACAAGTAGTTGTGCATGTTTGTAACTTCACTGTCATGATTTGAATGGCAGCGCTCGTGGTGTCCATGCCATCTTTTCAGGACTGTGGATACACAAGGTGACATTTCTGTTTGGAAATTGCTCAGACAATCTCTGCTGTTGTGTTTTCCAGCACCCCATAACCCGCTGGATAGCTCGTTATGTACTTGACCCCCCTGAGAAGAACTATGAGAAGGACATGGCCCTGCTTGCTGTGGAAGTGAGGAAATCTGAGCTGAGGTATGCTCTGTAGTTGGGGGGGTTAAAATCCTCATCCATACTGGAGCTGACTCTTTGATTTTGCATGACATACTGAGCTGGACGCAGACATAAAGTGCTTTCATGTGTCCCCTGGGTGCTGCCTGCCCTGGCTGCTGCCAGAGTGGGAGTCACAGGATCTGCTATCGCTGCCCTCTCAGGATTCAGGTTACCAGAACAATCCAAGGGCAGGGGGGTCTTCAAAACACTTGGTATTTATAAAGGTGTAGCTCTGTCTTTGTCTTCCTGAATCAGCAAATGGAGCTCTTTTTGCCCCTAATAACGCTCCAATGTTCTTAGAGAAGAACCTATGGTAAAATACAATAATAATAAAATACTGCCAGTATTTTTATTACTCCTTTGTAGAATGACTTGCTGAAAAAAAACCAAAATTAAAAGATTTGATAGCTTGTGTCTTAGCTGAACCCTTCATATTTTGGACCTACCTATGCTTTAGCAATATTTATAAACCATTGATGCTAAAATCATTGCTTTTTCAGAAATGCTCAATATTAACAAACTTCATGCTGAGGGTGTCTATTGCCTTTTTTTTAGGCTGCTGGAGCTGGAGGCACGCAGACTGATGAGACACCGGGGAGATGGGCCTTGGTACCATTATGAAACGCCTGACAAAAATCTTGTTGACAATTCTATGAAAGCCACACCTGATAATTAAACAATTTTTGAGCAGTGTGCAAGGTCTTCAGTGCATACTGACAAATTGTGACTGTGCTGTGGAACAGACATCCTGCTGTTTGCTGATGGAAATGAATAAACAGTGTTTGTGTTGATTCCAGTACCTTGAAAGAAACTGTGTGGCAGTTAACTCATACAGCTGTTCAAGCTGTTCGTCAGTGAAAATGCTTTGTGTCAATTGCCAACAATCACTCCTTTCCTTCAGAACATATGTACATGAAACAAGTTGTAATACTAGTTTTCATTTTGTGATTTCTAGTGTTTATAGTTTTAAGTGAAAGATACAAGAAGCTAAAGGTTTTTCTTTCTCAGTGCTTTGTGTCAGGTAATTGGTGGGAGATGAACTAAGTAGGAAAAGTACCGTCACATGTACCTGCCATGCATTTTCAGAACTGTTCAGCTGTTCTTCCACACCACTTCTGGCAACTCCTTAGGGAATAGAGTTCTCTCATCACCTGGCAGGTTTTTGCCACTAGAGGGATGTGTTTCCTCAGGGTCTACAGGCCATGGTACTCTTCTAAATTTCTCGAGTGATGGAAAGTGCCTCTTACAGTTTGTGACTCTAAATTATCTGTCCATGTTCAAAATCCTCACTTTTAAAAGGAAATAAGCCCAAACTAAACCCATATCATCTAGTGATTTGAAACTTAAAACTCTATTTTTTTTATATTAGGCAAGACTGCATGGACTATTTTAAGCAAAACCTGCCTTGTTTGCTATTTCCTGGCACTGCCAGACATTAGAAAGACATTGATTTTCTATCAGTGCTTTGCTTGCCTTTCTGATAGAATCAGTCTTTCAGGTTAGATGGCTCATATGTCTTATGGCTCTCATTGTTTATAAATGCTGAGTTATTAATAAGAGAAGCCATTAAAAGAGCACAAAGTCTCCTCAGGTAAAATAAACCTGTCTGACCCTGCATTAGTGTTTTCTATCCAGCATCCAGTGATGCTCACAAGTCTGATGTAATGTCTGTTTTTCAGCAAGTCTCCATGGACATCACATTCTGCCCTCAGTGTTTCACATTGTTCCCAACACTGGATTTTTCAGTAGTGAAAATCGCTGAGAACACTGTGCTACCCTGCTCATCCTCACAGCCTGCTCATAGCTGGGTACAAACATTTTTCTATTCCGTTTTTGAGATTTTCCTAGAACCACCTTTTGAAAATTTTAATTTTGAGGTAAAAGGTGGTTCTAGCAAAGGTCACATCCTTGGAAGTGATCAATGAGTCCTTGGATATATTGTGGATGATGGGTGGAAGGCAATTAATCTGCTCTATGCATCTTCATTTTACATGGACTGATCATTTCTTCAATGCTGTTGCTGCCAGGCATATGTGGTGTTCTTAGCTACTGCTTGAAAACAGCAGCAATATTTTTTTCCCTACAAAGATCACTCTTATTTCTCTCTTCTCTGACATTATTCTTTCAAAGTGAAGAGCAGAGAGAAACCCAGAAAAGGGCAAAAAAAGGGCATTTTAAGGTAAAGGCACTGCCCCTGAAGCCATGAAATTGGGGGCTAGCTCCTGGCACTGCCACAGGCTCTTTGGGCATCCCAGGCTGGGCATTCCCACACCGACCTGTTCTGGAAGGTGGGGACATCCCAGCTGTCAGCACTGGTGGGACCTGCCAGAGCCACCTGTACCGCAATGAGGGGCTGAGAATGAAAATACAGAGGAGGATTTTTTTTACTGTGTGGATTTTATACAAACGTATATACATACACAGATATATATACACATATACACTTACATATATATATATATATATACACACACATATATATATATATGCACACACATATATGTATATCTATATACACATACATATCTATATCTACATCTATATATAGATATATAGATATATTTATGTAGTCTTTAAAAGCTTAAAAATAAATAACAGAGCGTATAAAAGAGTGTTACCGGTGAGAGGGAAACCTTCCCCGGGCTACCCGGTCACACCAGGCGCCAAACCTCCGTGCCGCCCCGCTGGGAGCGAAGGTTTTCGGTGAGACGCGGGGCCCCGGCGGCGATCCCGCCCCGCT